TGAACACTGGCCAGTCCGTCCAGCGGCTGTGTCCATACTTGACCAGGCCAGACTGGGTCGCTTTGTCCACCCTCACGAGCCAAACGGACCAGCTGGAGCTCTTAGCCAAAAGACTCCGAGCCATGGGACTGCATTCTTTAAAAGAATGCACCAAGGGCCAAGCGGTCGCCATTGTCTTGATGGTGCAAGCTTCGCAAGGCAAGCCAAGCCTTTCGGCAGCTGCCATCAACTCGGCAGTCCAGGACTTCGGAATCATCTTCCAGTCCCTGCCAAGCAGCAATTGCCCCGGCGCCAGCAGGTTTCCAGACCATCCATCAGAGATGGGCCAGCTTTGGCTCTCCAAGGCCTATGGTCCAGGCGACCAGCCAGATCTGCAGGACCCATGCCTGGCTCCATTTTTGAAGAAAGCCCCTTGGTTGCATAACTTGGATCTGTTCCGTGTTGCATTTGTTTCTTGCATGCATGTAGACATTTCTACGTCTTCGTCCCCGAGGTGCCTCTTCGAAGCACCCATGCTTCATTGGCCGGCGGCACCAGGTGCAGGTCCAAGCGGCCTCCAGCGACACCTCAGGGCTCCACCTTAAGCTTCGACCAGGAGCTGGAAATGCTGAAGCTGCGGCATGGCATCCAAGCCCAAGCAGCCACACAAGGCACAGCCACTCTGCAGGGAAGCCAAGGGCCCACCGCCGCAGCAACAGCAGTGTTGCCTTGGCTGTCGCCGCGAAGCATGGTCCAGTCCCACAGCCAGAGTGCTGCCAGCACAACTGCCCCTGGCCAGGTCTTTGGCCAGAGCACAGCATCTGCCGCTGCTTTGCCACTTCCTCCGGCAAGCCCGCCTCCTGAAGCCACGACCAGAGTCGAAGCAGCTCCCACGGAGACGACTGCCAAGGAAGACAGTGCCAAGCAGGACACGTGTATATTTTTGTTTAGTTTCCTTCCATACTGCTTATTCGGGGTTGTTCTGCAGCATTTCACCCTGCAAGGACGCCAAGACATTGCAGGAGTACGAGCAGGAGCAGTTCCAGAAGCTGCTGGATGCCAAGGCCGACAAGAAGAAGAAGGCCAAGGAGGACGGCCAGGCCGACCAGAAGCCCAAGAAACAGCATATGAAGCGGCCAGCAGCAGCCATGTCTACCCGACAAAGCTCGGCGAACCAGGGCACCACCTGCAACGGCCATGAGGCTGGCAAAGGTGCCACCGCCGCCAAAGGCGGCAGCACAAAGATCCTCTACGGATGTATCCGCTGTCGTGGTAATGTTAAGGGATGCTCCAGTTGTTGGGACCCAAACTTTCGGGGCACCCGTCTCCACGGCCGCCAAGCTTGGAGGGAGTACATCGAGGCCCACAAAGCCAACAAGGCCATGAAGAAGGCTCCCAAGAAGTAGTGCCAGGCATGGTTCCAGGCAGTTTGTTTTCTTGCAGGGCAGCACCAAGGGGCCCAGGTGCAGGGTAGCAAGAAGCCACAACAGCCCAGGCAGGGTGCACCGTGCCGACACGAGCAAAAAGACCGCCTGCATGTCTTTGGACAAAGTGATTCTTTGAAGCCATGCCGTGGCCATCCTGCAGCATGCTGTTTCTGTGTATATATGCACTTCCGAGGTCTTTGTTGACGCACTGTGCCCGCCATCGCTTCAGCAACGAAGGTTCCAGACTTCTCCCACGAAGAGGTCCATGCATGTGAGTCTGACATCCACAGCCTATATAGACAGGGATGCAGCCTTCATCCATATAGCACACATACCATTGATTCCCATGTGAAGCAAAGCACATTGCCACTGCCCTTGCCCCCAAACCCACTCTCAGCCATTTTTGGCCATGGAACCTCCACAGAAGAAGAGCAAACTGCAGCAGCTGCTGACCTTCAAAGCTGCTTTGCCAGGTCACTCCCAAAGTGCACTGGCTGCTTTTGTGGAAGTCGCCAAGGAACAAGGCCTCCCAGAGAAGAGCTCTTCCAATGACCAGCGGAAAGCCAGGGAGGAGCTTCTACAGAGCTGCCATGGTGGGCTACTGGGTCCTTTGATCCAAGAAGCAGAGGTCACCACCGATGATGGTGCCAAAGTCACCATGTACTTTGCCAACCTCTTGGTTTACCTGGCCAGTCTTTTCCAGATGGGTGGAAGCTTCCATGATCTGATCCAAAGGAAGCACCGAGCCAACCCATCATCCGTCTCCAAGCCATGGCAACTTATACTTTATGCAGATGAGGTGATACCAGGAAACGTCTTAGGACCTGCCCAACGTAAATTTTGGGCCATTTATGCCAGCTTCAGGGAGATGGACCAATTCCTCCACCACGAGGACCTCTGGCTGACCATCTCTCTTGAAAGGTCCAACTTCGTGAGCCATGTCCAGGGCGGCATCTGCCAGATCATGTCCAAGATCTTGGAAACCATTTTCGCCAATGCCCACGTGGAACCATTGGCAGGGTTTGTGTTGAAATCCCCACATGGCCCAGGTTCCGATGTCCGGCTCCATTTCCGGTGGGCCATATGTCTGGCAGACGGCGGTGCCCATAAGCAGATTTGGTCTTCCAAAGGTGATTCTGGTACCAAATTTTGCATATTATGCGCCAACATCCACTCAGGACCACCCACAGGCGACAACCACGACATCATGGACCACCGCACGACCAAATACAGCCAATTGGTTTTGACCACTGATGAAGACGTCATCCAGTCCTACCGCAGATTAGACGAAAGGCGAGCCACGTGCAGGACCAAAGCAGAATTCTCGCAATGGCAACAAGCCACCGGTTGGACCTGGAATCCCCAGGCCTTGCTCCTGAACCAGACTTTGTTGGCGAAGAACCAAGTGAAGCCAGTCAGCCAGTTCTGCCATGACTGGATGCACGGCATTCTGCAAGGAACGGCCCCAGTCGTGCTGTTCCAGAGCTTCCAAGCCATCTCCGAGCACTACAACATTTGGGAGGCCATGGGCCCATACATAAGGATGTGGAACTTTCCAGGTGCTTCCAAGGCCGGTCACTTGGCTGGTTTGTTCGACACAAGCAAGGTCGCCAAGTACAAGAGCAGCCAGAAGTTCAGTTGCCAAGCTTCGGACCTCCTAGGGCTTTATCCAATCATTCGCCATTTTTTGCATTCTGTTGTTGTGTCAAGCGGAATCTGCCCAGAGGCTTGCCAAGCTTTCTTGAGCCAGGCCTGCTTGATCGACCAGGTTCACCAAGGGGTCATGTATGGAGCCACCACCAGAGCCAGCCTTCTCAGGGCTGCGGAAGAATCCATCGAGACCTTCCAACAGGCCAACTTCGACGTGCCACTGATGCGGAAGTGGCACTGGCTGCTCCACTTGCCTGATATTCTCCAACGGCATGGGTGCCTGCCATCGACATTTACGAGCGAACGAAAGCACAAAACCATATCTGCTTTCGCCACAAGGCTCCAGAAAACAGCCGCCTTCGAGATCCACTTGCTCAACCAGGTGCTCGCCACCGAGATCACCACTTTGACACAGGCCGGGCTGTTTCCAGACTCCTGCCAGTTGGTGAAGCCAAAGAAGCCCAACAAGCACCAGCTGCAATTCCTCAACCAGTTTGTGGATTGCTCAGCAACTGAAGCCATGGTTGCCTCTATCGCGAGGCTCGCAAGGGGTGGTGCCATCCATGCCAACGACGTCGTGGTGTTCCACCAGGAAGACGGAAGATGGGACATGGGCCAAGTGCTTTTCCATTTGGAGCTTGGAGGCGACAAAGCCACACTCGTCCAACGTTGGAGGCCAACAGAGACACAGAAGACAAAGCAGTTCGCCAAGTGCTCCATCACCAACGAGCAAGGCTTCGTGTCCATGGACTCCTTGCTGTACCCAATGGTGTACAGCAAGACCACAGAGAGGGAGGCCACTGTGCTGCTACCGTACCAGCTGTACCACAGGCTTTGAAAAACAGTGCTTCTCAATCCGCCACAAGGCTGTACCACATGCACATGACATTTTTAGCCCTATAGGCCATGCACGACAGCCTGTCCATGCAGGCCATTGACATGTATTTTTGCTTTAAATTTGTTTGACAAGCTACATGTTTTATATATTTCATTTCCGATACCAGTGTTTATGCTCCATGAAGTGTCTTCTCATATCAGAGTCCCTAGCCTAAACCTCAATGCCAAAACACACAAGTTACTTCTACAATTTTGATGTCTATAACATAAGCTAACTCCACCTAACTTTTTAGCTAACTAACATAACTATGTTAACCACTTATAAAACAACCAGGATTCCAAGTACTTTAATAATCTAGGAACCTGATTAAGAAACCTTGGGCCTCTGCTAGGGTTGCCTATTATAAATGAATCCTATACTATTTTGGGGTTATGGGCCTAGGGTTTAGGAGATACGGGCTGAAGAGTTTAGAGCCCAGAAGCAGAGGCTTTGGGCTCAACAAATCAACAGAGTTTCGGATATGCTTTAGCTTACCAAAGCCTTTATTTTGACAGCCCCCTCAACCCTAAACCCAGGAACCTACAGAAAAGTAGGTTCTGGTATCCAGGTTCCTACGTACATCATCTCATGGTCTTGACTTGGCATCTTGCCCCAAGCTCGCCTTGCGGTTTCGTTCGAAACTTAGGGCCTCTCTCCGGCTTGCAGATCCACCTCCTCTCATGCTCTCTTTCCTAAACCTTCAGCCCAAACCCTAAACCTCTAGGACATTTGCAGCACGTTGTGATCAGTGTAGTTGGTCTAAGTCGATTTTGGCAGGATTCCTCAACCAGGTGTTTCGAGCGGTGGGATTTCTGTGTGAACCGGTAACTTAGTGGGATTTTGGTGTGTCGTCGGTCATCAGTCAAGTTCTTGTCTCACTCCGCTGGCCTCCAAACACAAGTCTCGGCTGCAGTTCAGTGCATTGCAGTGCCGGAGTTGCGTGCTAAACCCTAAACCCTGAACCCCGAAACCTCTAAACCTCTGTGGTACGTCCGAGCGTGAGTGCTGAAGCCTCTAAACCTCTAAACCCTAATCCCTAAACCCCTAAACCCTACCGAAGCCTCCAGGACAAGTCCCGGGATGAGCTTTACACCATCTGCCCGGAGCTCGACAAGGAGAATGCCTACGAGGCAAGTCACGGTGCGCGGGTTTCCTGAAGCCCGTAGCCCCTGAGCCCAAAGCTCGCAACCCTTTTAAGGGACACCCCAATTCTAGCTATCAAGGCCCCGGTAGATTCCTTAAGTAAGGGACATCCCTGGGTTTGGGGCTTAGAGCCCTTACAGGATGGAATCCTAACCCGTTCGGTTCATTGAGTCGTAACCCCAAACCCTAAAACCCGCAAAACCTTGTTGACGTCGGCAGGGGATCATGCGGCTTTTGGAATCGAGCCGCTCGGCCGGATTTTAGGACTCCGCGGCCGTGCTGTTTTCACATAAATGGCGATAGCTACATGGGTGGTTGTCAGGATTAGGGTCCCTTTTTGGGTACCCTAAATATTATGGTGCCGTATTATAATAAGGACCCAAAAAAGGACCCTAATCCTGACAACCACCCACCTAGGCTCCATGGCAGTTCCTTTTTGGGATTACACCTAGATATCAACCACGAAAAGGAAATACGATGGAGCTTCGAGGTAAAGTGAAACAGACGAACGCCAAGGCCTCTTCGCCCACAGCAGAGGGAACGACATCACTTGCGAAGTTAAACCACCGCTATGGCCATTTCTGCAGTTTTCAGAGGCTAACACAAACTTCGCAGCTTTCTACAGTAAGGGAACGAAAGCCTGACAGGTGTATGAACAGTGAGGAAAAGTAGCTGTGGATGGGAACATGACATAGCTGACAGCACCGGCACCCATCGCAGTTCGAGTTCATTGTAGGAACATTCAGTTGTGCGAAATGGTGCGGCTTCTGTTGACTTTCTTATGCCGAGCCATCGTCATGGTGGTCCCAGCAGCCAGGCATTCAGCAACGAAAGCGACAACAGCCATTACTGTATGCTGCAAGCGGTCAGAAAGCGGTTCCAGTGTTTTTTTGGGCTAAACATAACAAACATAGTGCTAGCATTCAAACGAAGGGAGACACAGAGAAACGCTTGTACTTGTTGTCAGTAAAGAACCTAGCTGCGGCGCTGCAAGTCTGTAACTTGAACCGGCAGTTGCTCCTTCGCGTTTTCCGTCTTCGTTACAGCTTGCCCAAAGCCAGTCATGCCCAGACGTTTTCGAGGGTAGCAGTGTTGTCTACAAGCCGGCTGTGTGTGTGTGTGTGTATCTGGACATATACGCATACAGGTTAACATTAGTCTTAACAATCTGTCAATTTTTTTATACATCCATCCACCCATCTGTCCACATATCTGCCTGTCTATCTCTTACACGCATGTATGTGTGTATGTATGCGTGTATGTATGTGGGAGTTTCCGAAAAAAGGGGACCCTAATCTGTACCTTGAATAGTAGGATCCTTATTATAAAGACCCCCCAAATAAGGTACCCCTAATTTTCGGAAACTCCCATGTATGCATGGGAAGAGCATGTCGCCGAGTTCAAGATGCCGAGGAATGCGAAAGTCCTGGACGATGTCTCGATACTTCGGCCCCAAGGACGTCGAGAAAGTGGAGCCATGGCTTAAACAAGCCTAGACCCGACACCCTAAAAGCCCAGTAGTCTGATGCTTAAAGTCTTGGGGGGGATGTATAGTTATGTTGTTTAGGATTTAGCGTTTGGCATTCAGTGTTCGGGGTATAGGTGTTTTGGGGCTCAGGAAAGACACTCCAGGACACATGCAAAGCCACTGGATGTTGCATAACTTCCTTCCTTTGGAACAATCTGCATGTTTTTGTGGTTTCCGTCTTGTGAAAAAGGGCAGCAGATGCTAGGGGGTCGGCCCCCAAGCCCCCCTAAACCCTAAACCCAAAGCCCCTATGACAGGCCCTGAGAAAGTCGGATCCGCCATTACAGAGACCCCGAAATTAGCGCGGTGCCCAAACTACGGAACCCACCTATACCCAGAGGCCCGCCCCAAAGTAGTTCCTTTTTGGGGTTACTTTATAGGATTCTATATATGAACCCCAAAAAGGAACTACTTTCGGGCCTCTGGGTAATCCTGCAGCTTCAGATTCCGATTCGGAGGTCGAGAAGATCCGGTCGGAGAGCCAGCAAAAAGAGTTGTCGACGCCCTCGGAAGACGATGAGCAGGATTCCAAGTGACGCTGCGTTCGTGATGCCAAGGCAGGTCTCTGATTTCGGGTTCGCAGCAGTGCCGCGCGAAAACCGACTGGCAAAGTTCGGTGCTATGGAGTCCGGACAGCAGGGTCTGTTCGCGCATTATTTCTACGTAGCTAAGCCTGGGCTGCGGGAGCTGCACGCAAGAAGTGCACCAGCTTCTTTCCTGAACGATATTGGCAAGGAGCTTATGCCTAGCTAGACGCTCTGCCCACCTTACGGCTCAGATGCCTCTCCTGGTTCTTCGAGTTTCGGGGGTGTCAAAAAGTGCTTCAGGCCTTGCGGAAAATTCTATTAAACCCCCGACAGGTGCAGAGCCTAGGTCAATGGATCCCATAAGTATGGCAGCCTCACAGGGGCAGAGACCTACCCTAAAGCCATAATCCGTAGGACTTAGGGTCTAGGGTACAGTTGTCTAAGAAACCGTAAGCCATGAACCCATCTAAGTCTTTCGGTTTGGATGCGGGCTTTCATTTGGCATTTTCCCTGCAACCCAGAGCAACTGCGGACACTTCTCCAGAACGAGGTCCTCCGGTTGTTGTATTATAGGGGCTTAAATAATTGCCCACACTATTTTGGGGTTTACTTAGTATTATTATTATTATTATTATTGGCGACATGGTCTCAAGTCTAAATCTCAATGCCATCTACTTTTGCTTAGTGCTGGCTAGGCCACTGTATATCATAGCTTGCTTATGGCTATTTACGCTGACGTTAAAGACATGTCTCGGCACGTGATAGTCTTGGGTACGTAAACACGACCATGTGTATGTACATATGTTTACTTAGATTGTATTGTGTATGTTCGTAGTTATATGCTGTGGCGTGCGCAGCTGGTTGGATATCTGTTGATCAACGACAGACATATTCGTATGTACATTGGTCTGTGCTCAAACAGCTACATAGAGAGACAGTCCGCACTCTGAGAGGTGTTCCGCCCGTTAATGTTTGCCCCACCGATGTCACAAGCAGAACTTGTTGTCGGCAGGGCACTTGCACCAGCGGAGGGGCTTGCGATCCTCTGCTCCCTTTCTCAAAGTAGCTTTGTGAGTTTTGTTGCAAGTAGGTTACTGGGCGCAAGAGAGCCTACACCCTAAGGCCACAACCCTCAACCGTGATCGCTGCGTGCCCATCGGAAGCCGCCTGGTCAGATCCATCTCGTGCACTGGGCACCTGCCCTGACTCACGAAGGAGCACGCGGCGGAGACAGAAAGAGTTTGTCCGGGCTTCTCAAAAGATGACAGCGACAGATGACAGCTGAACCTAGCAAGAACTCGTCGAATCATGTGTCACCGGCTTGGCTGGGAATCGTACACACGAGATGGGATTTCTCGGGTGCAAAGGTCCAGGGTCTAGAGTATTTATAGAGCTCCGGGCCAGTTTCAAAACACGCCCCCCAATTTTTTTCGCAAGGGCCCCCAGGTATGCCGACAGCTTCGGGAGATTTCCAAAGCATGGCAGTCGGCTGTCAGCCTTGGAGCCACATGCGGGCTGGCGGGCAGAGTAAATGTAGTCGTAGTGGTGGTAGTAGTAGTAGTAGTAGTAGTAGTTGGAGGAGGAGTAGTAGTAGTAGTCGTCGTAGTAGGAGTAGTAGCAGTAGCAGTGAAAGTGGATAGAGCATTGCAGGAATAGTTGTAGGCGCAGTAAGCCGTCGTAGCCGCTCTGTTATACATACTAGAGCTTTTGACCTTGCTGGTGATCCTATGAAGCTTCACGTTTATCTCATCTCCGCCTTTGCCCTTCCATGTGGCACACTTTCGTTGTATCGTCATCACCACCATCTTTCTCTTAACCCTCCCTTCTCGACGCTGAACACTGCCGCTACCTAGTTTCCATCGTAGTCTTTTTGGCTTAACCAAATAAATAATTAGGATCCTGTAGGGTAACCCCAAAAAGGAACTACAATGGAGACTATAGGTAAAGCTCAGGCGATGAATGCTCACTTCATGGGCTGCGATGCCTTCCAGGAGGGAGACTTGCTGGTGACCTTCCCAGGATGCAAGGAGCCGGGTTAGTAGGCTTACTGTCAGGGTATTAGGAGTTTTGGGTCTAGGTTTAGTTGAGAGTGCCTATGGCATGAACTTAGGCATGCCTGCGCGGTTAGCACTTCAGATTTCAGAAACGGGGGATGGGGTTCACTGGCTCCGTGTTGTGAGGCATTCGGCGGCATAGGGCGGCCCGGCTCTGCCAGTCGTGACAAGTGCCGATCTGCGGACCTGGCACAGCTGCCTTTGATCAGAAGGAGAAGGGTAATGGCCCGACATCAAGCAACGGGACGTCGCAAAAGTATGAACTGTGAACCCCAAAGGCCGTGACAAATGTGCAGCCCCGGAAATCCTCAACATATGACAACAGCAACCCACAACATATCGGCAAAGCTTCTGCCAGTGTTGCCTTTTTGCCGTGTTGCAGTGTTTGATCTCAGTTTAAGACGTTGCAAGAAGAACCAAACCCTAAACACTACTGCGACCTCCTGGTTTTCAGTTTCGTTTGGATTAGCGTGAACACTTGGGGTATTTCTAAAGCATTCTACTCCGCGCCCGATGTTCAAAACTTTCCGTCACCCCGAAACCCTGCTAGACAACCCCGAAACCCTGCTAGACGGACCCTCTACGGGATTCCAGAAAGGCTGCAGAGGACCCTAAAACCCTAAACCCCTAAACCCTAACCCTAAACCCTAAAACCCTAAACCCCTAATTAAACCCTAGGCCGGGAACCCTAAACCTTAAAGCCTAAACCCTAAACCCTTAAACAACCCTGTACAGCGCTATTCATGTTGAACCTCGAGCTTCAAAGGCCAGAGGGGCCAGATAGTCAAACATGTTCCTTGGGTAGTAGCATTAGGGAGACCCCTTAAAGGGTACCCCTTCTGAACCCTACTTCTGGCTCTCTTAAAAGGGGCCTTATTGAGAGGGTCTATATCCCCAAGGGTCCCCCTAATCCTAACTCCCGTTCTCTCTATAGCCTTATTCCGCAGCGCCAGCGCCCAGCGCCAGCGCCAGCGCCCCCTGGCGCTGGCGCTGGGCGCCAGCGCCCTAGCCCCAGCGCCAGCGCCAGCGCCAGCGCGCCAGTGCCAGCACCAGCGCCAGCGCCAGCGCCAATGCTAGCGCCAGCGCTAGCAATATACCCGCACTTATACGCTATGCCAAGCCCCAAGATCAGCGCCGACGCCAACGTCAATGCATGCGCCCGCGCCAGCGCCAAACAACAACCCATGAAACATAGAAACAACAGCAACAACAACAACAACAACGACAACAACATCAACAACAACAAGGAACGAACAAAAACAGGAGCCCCATTCCAACAACAAATTCTTGCTTTTGTCTCTTCTACCAGACTGGAGACAAAACCTGGTGCCCTGTATGTTGTTCTGAAGGGGGGGGGGTGTTGTTCCCCTTTGCCCGTTTTGTCTCTTCTACCAGACTGGAGACAAAACCTGGTGCCCCGTATGTTGTTCCCAGGGGGGGGCTGTTGTTCCAGTGTTGTTCTGCTGTTGTTCCCAACGGTCTTTGTCTGTACATGAGTAGAAGCAACAAAGCCTGGTGCCCCGTGTGTTGTTCTGAGGGGGGGGGGTGTTGTTTTGGGGGGGCCGGGGGAAAAATTAGTAAAAGGTTGGTTCTAGGGTTACCCCCCTACCCCCTATATAGGACCCTATACTGTTTTTTTCAACTTGTCTATCTTGTTCGTTATCGTTTTTGTTGGACTCTTATCTAAAATCTTTATGTAGTGTTGGGGTTATCTTTTGAATTATTCTTATTACCTACAACTTATGATGGTTTATTATCATAAGGTTTTGTATAAGTTTTACCTAGGACCCTATCCCGATATTTTATACTATTTTTATGTCATAAGCTTAGGCATAGGTTTCCTTCCTTAGTCGGTTTATGTCGGGGTATTATGTATAATATTCTATATAATATTATGTCTAGGTTTCTGTGGTGGCTGTTGTCTACATTTATAATAATATTTTATATTAATATTATTATGAATGCTTTAGTTTTCATTTTCTTCTTTATCAAATATTTCATCTAAATGGTCTTGAATTTCATCAAGATTTAAATATTTGATATCTTCACCAATAAATTTAATAAGAAACTCATAAATAATGTTTTTAAACAACAGTTTATCTGGATATGATTTCTTGTAATAGTCATAATGTAATATTAAAATATTTTCACGTCTTAAAATGTTTATATGTCTATTTATACATTTCATAAGTCTTTTGTTATGACAACAACTTAACACATAATCAAACTTATCAAAAAACCTTGTTCGTCTGTTCTTAATAAAAGATATAATTACTTTCTTATAAGGGTTATCACTATTCATAAACATGTTTACTAACTTTTGTTTCTTCGTTTCTCTATCATCATAAGCAAAATATACATCAATATTATCTATTTCTTTCAATATAAAAAGTTGCTTTTCAAAGGTTGTTAATTTGTATTTCTCATCAGGAAAAAGTTCATAACCATCTTCTAAGTTGATAAGACGGTTACAACTGTCACGACAATTAAATGACTGCATAATACTTCCTATGTCTTGTGGTAATATTTTGTTTAATGTTTCCTTATTCTGTTGTGTTCGCATATGCTTACACTGTTGGCACTTGCTATAATCAAATATGGTCATTTTCCCTACTATTCTAGGGCGTTTTTTCTTTAAGTAGTTTTTTATCATTTATTTATTAATTAACAATAATTCATGACCCTGGTGCCCCGTGTGGTGTTCTACCCCCCCCCCCCCTCCTGGCAACCCATGCTCACCCGGAACCGAGGTTGTTGTTGCCAGTCTGGTAGGTGTCACAAAACCTGGTGCCCCGTGTGTTGTTCTACACCCGCCCCTCCTGGCAACCCTGCCCACCCGGAACCGAGGTTGTTGTTGCCAGTCTGGTAGAAGAAACAAAACCCTAATGCCCCTCCTGGCAACCCATGCCCACCCGGAACCGAGGTTGCTGTTGCCAGTCTGGTAGAAGAAAGGAA